TTAAATAAAGGGGACCGATATTGTAATCATAAAATAGTTACAAAGTTGGGCTTAGGATCCATAAGGATGCAATGGATGAATTCTATATGTGATTCCATATAGACATCGTCCAAGGGCCTTCTGGAAGGATCCATTGGGTTGCTTAAGGAATAAGCAACTGGATTAGGGTTTCCAAGTTGATAATCCTAGAAGCCTAACAATAAAAGAAACCCTCTAGGCCACCAAATTCGTCACTATCCTTATAAGAGAGCCCTTGGACGAATTGTGTGCCTCCTCCTCCCTCTCCTAAGTCATCTTATCGCTAATGGTGTTTATGACTCCATTAGAGGTGCAACACTTGGGGCATTAAGCTTTCAATAGTCAAGATCAAGAAGGTTTGTGATTGTTATTGCTACATAACAATCAAGGTAATATTCCTAACCCTATTCATATGTAATTTTTCAGATTTGTATACTAGTCAATTAGGGTTTATTGCTTTGGTATTCAATGTTGTATGTTTACTTAGAAAAACCTAGATCAAAGCAATTAGGGTTGCATGTACACCATAGGATTGATGTTATGCACATAACCCATCAGTGGTATCACAGCCTAGGTTTTTTTTTCTAGTGAATAGATGTAAAAGTGCACTGCCAAAGTTCAAGAAAATCGAATTTTTTGTCTTCTGATTGGCTGACTCGCCGAGTCCATGTATGGACTCGACGAGTCCTAGGGTCTGGTGCCAGGATTTTCGATTTTCTTGCGACTCGCCGAGTTCCTTCAGTCCTTAAGCCATATAGACTTATTTAAGCCATGTAATGGCTCCAAATTATAGATCCAAGCTTCTAGGACATGCTTTTCACGTAAAGTTGCAAAATTTACGTGCATGCATGACTAAAAAGGCTCTTAATGCCAAATCTAAGCTCTTAATGGGGTTTTATGCACAAGGAGGGCCTCAACCATGACCAAAACATAAACTTTGTGATTCTAGAACTTAAGAAGGGTCCAGATCTGAAGTTACAACTTCAGGTCTAGCCCATAGCTCACCAATATGACTCCTAAAAATCCATAAAACCCTAAAACTCAACCACAAAAAGATCTAGAAGAAAAGGGGAGTAAAGATTGCAACTTGATACCTCCAAAAGATGCTAGATGAGGTAAGTTTTGTTTCCCACACCTTCCTTGCCTCAACTCCTTTGCTCTTCAAGCTCTTCCCTCCAAGCTAATCTTTTTTCCAAGGTCTAAAACACACCACAAGGAGTACCACACGAATTAGGGTTTCACTGAGCTCTCAAAGACTATAAGGAGGCCAAAGGAGGCTGAGGCTTCCTTAAATAGGGTGTAACACCCCATGATTTAGGGTTTCATTTGTCAGCTCCTACTCGTCGAGTCCTTTCTTAGACTCGGCGAGTAGGTCACTAAACACGCGATCCCACCCCGTTGCTACTCGACGAATAGGGCAACCAACTCGTCGAGTAGGACTTAAAACCAAAGAACCTTTTATTTAACCAATACCTGGAAATCGGGGCGTTACATCATGGTAAGGCGAAGGTGCGATCGTACCGCTCCTCATCCTTTTGATCCAAATATTGGGACACTATGATGAATAATGATTTGAAAACATTTTGTAAACAAATACTATTTGTTTTTATTTATGATTGAAAAAGTTTAAATTTGGCGTAAAATTTTGGATGTTACACCTAGTAAGTTTGAAAAAGTTTCAATTTACACCCTTTAGGTTTTATAGTTTAAATTTAAACTTAAAAGTTTTAGTTTTTTAAATTTAAATAGTTAAACACTAATATTTTGAAAAGTTTCAAAATTTATCCTCAAGTTTTGGAATTTAAAATTTAATTAAAAGGTATTGATTTTAAATATTTAATTCTAAAACCTTAGTATTTTGAAAAGTTCAAATTACACTCTTATGGTTTTATTAAATTAATTAAGTGTGTAATTAAAAGATAGTTAATAAATCTATAATGTAATGGTTTATATTTAATAATATTAAAGATATAATTTATTAGATTAAACCACCTAGTATTTAAAAGTGTAAAATACACCCTTATACTATATAAAATTAAAAGTCTAATATTATATATGTATGAGTAAAGAGTCAGTCTTACCATTAGTAGGTCTCACTCACGAAGTTGGTCTATAAGTGGTGTTTAAGGAAGCGACCTGTAAAATGATCGTCATTGGGTATCCACTCTTACCCACCACACTTTTGACTAGTGGATGGTCGTTAGCTGAACGGGTAGGATAGGATACAACTTTCCATTATAAGTATAATGAAACACGAAGTAACTAAACACTTTTACAAATTCTCAAATCTTAGTTACTTTAGGAAAAATATGGAATTAGTGCTAATCCATAAAATTGGACATTGCACATTGTTGGTCGTTAGTGGAGCGTGTATGGTTAAACAATAAGTGTGACGTGGAAATTAACCAATTATAAGTTATAATCAAGGTTCTAAATAACGTAAGACGTGACTTGGTGGCAATATCAAGCCTCAAGCTTTTTGGAGCTATGGCGAGTCACGTCGTTTGTAAGGCGTGCCATAAAGCGACAATTTGTATAATATTTATAAGTTTTTATATATTTTCTACTATTATTTATTTTTATTTACATATATGAAGTAAGACGGCAATTTGCTAAAGCTCGGCGACAACTACAAGCCTTGGAGTCGTGGTAAGTCATGACGGAGCCATGACGAGCTTTTTAGAACTTTGGTTATAACCGTGCGCACATGCACCTTAATGTTGCATATTAACATCATGCTCTCCATTTCTTTTTTTGATAATTATTGGTGATTAAATTATTGATTAAGTTGATAAAAAAATCTATTCACTATATAAAACTGTGTAACAAAAATTAAACTATATTTTATCTAGGGAGAAAGATATTCCGGTCCAAACAAATTCACATCTTATATTTATGCCATCCTCATGATATGAATCAACAAGTATTTAAAGTATTTGTTTGAGTCAAATTTAGATATCTACTATAAAATTTAACAAGCGTAATAAATTATAAATCACAATTAATTTCATAATTTTTTGAGTAAATTATTGAAATCATGTAGTTTGGTCAAAATTGTACGTTTGGTTCATAACTTTTTTTTGCACTTGGATGGTCCCTATGGTTTGATTTTGTTGCGTTTTTCGTTCCTATGGTTTGGTAAAAATTGCATGTTTAGTCCCTAACTTTATGTATGTAAGGGACGAAAAGTGCAACAAAATCAAACCACGGGGACGAAAAACGCAACAAAATCAAATCATAGGAACGATTCGAGTGCAAAAAAAAGTTAGGGACCAAACGTGCAATTTTGACCAAAGCAGAGGAACGATTTACTCTAATTTTTTAATAACAGATAAATATTTACAAAAATATTTTACAAACAATCTTATTCTTATATACTGTTTTAATTTTGTTGTAACGGTATATTTTTAAAGGGAAAGGGTTTTTATTTCTTTTGCATAAAAAAGGTGATGATCTTTGGGTAGTTATTACCCACCTGAAATACCATCAAACATACCTTCTCGACATTTATTGCTGGAGTTGTTCCACATCTGTCTCCCCATTCCAGTGATTCAAATCTATGATTCAGTAGAAGAACAATGGTCAGTTTTTACTAAATTCATTCTCTTATTTACTTCTCTTATGTTCTGACTTGGTCATAAGTATTGTATAAAGATACAGCTTTGATCGATCCGTGTGTTATTATCGCAACCAAATCGGAGTAACTGTTGTGCTCTTTTTCCTCCCGATTCTCCTTATTCGTGTCTGTAGAATGGATTAGCAACTTAAGAGAGTAATCTAGCGTATAAATTTGTTGTCGGTGATGCAAAATGAGAGATCCCAAATTCCCAATACCTCCGATTCAGGAAATATCTACGATTTTCAATTGAGATGTCAAAGGGGTAGTAGCATTTAAGTTTCCTGGGAATATTTTTTGTATTAAACTCAATTCTTTAACAAGTAGTACTATAGAAATTAAAATCGCTGTTTTGTTCTTGAGAATTGTGGGTTTGACATCCAAAATCATGATTAGGGTATCTACGGTTTCAGTCACACCTGCACAAACTGATTCTTTTTAGTATTTTGTATGCAATCTAACTGCTGAACCCTATTTCTTGTATGCTTGTTTACAGGAGAAAGAAGCAAAGAAAGAAGCTTTTAGAAAGTATTTAGATTCTAGTGGCGTTCTGGATGCTTTGACTAAAGGTGTAGCTCACTTGACCACATAATGATAATGTTGTTTACAGTTAGATACATTACTTGTTTCACTAAATAACCTGTCTTTTGAACTTTCTATCATATGTAGTTCTTGTGGCTTTATATGAACAGAGTGACAAACCTTCATCAGCTGTTGAGTAAGTTCAAATGAATCTCTGAAGAATCCGATTTTCCTTTTCTTGAATTTTTCAAGTGGAAAAACTTAAAACTTATTATTTGTTCAACAGGTTTGTCCAGCAAAAACTAGGTGGTCCTAGCTTGTCTGAATATGAAAAATTACAAGCCGAAATGTCTGATTTGCAAATTAGATATAATGAGCTTTTGGCACTTCATCAAGAAACATGTAATCAGGTATACTTTTTCTTTTTCCTACTCTTTTTGTTGATTCTTTTCATCTCATCATAGCTTAATAATAATAATGGAGGTTTGCTTCTTTTTTTTTGCAGCTTGAGGAGTTAAAAAACACCCACACTGTAGTGTCATCAAAAGAGAAGATTGAAGGGGAACTTCCAACAGATAATTTATGAGGGTATTTTGGTAAAATACGAAGAAACAAGATGTTACAATAACCACTCTGTATACAAAAAATTCATATTTCCCTTGATGCTCTGCTATGCTGGATGCTAATTTCATTTTTATTTTCTCATATGTTGTACTTTGTGACACTATTTCTGAGTTCTGACATTTATGCTAACTTCAAACATGCTACTTATTTACCAAAAAGTTGTTAATTTTATGATAAGTATATGAGAATACAAGTACATTCGAAAACTTTAAATAGAAGATTAAAAATCATTAGAATTCCCTAAAATGGCATCTTTGATCAGATGAAGCTCATGGATAACAGTAGCTGTATCTGTTCGATGCCTTGGTGACTCCATGGAGCATGAAACTCCAATTTTAAGCAACATAAGGCAACACATGTCGTTTTTCACATAATCTTTATCTTCCTTATTGCTTCTTATGTCATCATCCTTCAGAAGAATTGGATCAATAACCTCAACTGAACCATCATCAATGGCTGCTTTAGCATAGTTGTGTAAACCCACACCATCTTGAAACATAGCATATGTAGGTTTCTTACCTGTCATCATCTCCAACAACAAAATCCCATAACTATACATATCTCCACTTGTTGACACCTTGCTTCCAACCCCATATTCTACAATAAATAAATAAATAAATAAATCATTAAAATTCCATTCACAAGAGATAATGTTAAGAATTAAGAATGTAAGATACCTGGAGCAGCATAACCGATGGTTCCTCTAACTCCAACTGAGCTACTATGATTCATGTTTTGATGCTCAGAATCAAGAATCTTTGAGAGTCCAAAATCTCCAACATGTGCAACCATGTCTTCATCAAGTAGAATGTTGCTTGGTTTCAAATCACAGTGAACAATTGTTTTTCCACCATGATTATGGAGATAATCAAGTGCGTAAGCAACATCTAATGCTACAGACAGTCTTTGTAAGAGATTGAGTTGAGGGACCTCATGATGCAACCATTGGTCTAAAGTTCCATTAGACATGAACTCGTAAACTATGGCTTTGAATTCGTTTCCTTGAAAGTCAATCCCACTGCAACAAGTTATCACCTTTGTTAAGTTTCTATGTTTGGCGTTTCTGAGTGCTTCACATTCAGAGACGAAGCTCTTGGAACCACCTTTACGATGGAGGTTTAGTACTTTGATAGCAACAATCGCATCGTCTTTATTGAGGTATCCTTTATAAACTGATGAAAAGCTACCTTCGCCTATGAAGTTTTTGTTGGAGAATCCATCGGTTGCTTTGTGAAGCATTTCGTAAGAAACTTGAACGAAGGATTCCCCAGAATTAGGTTCGGATACTTCATCTTCAATCTCCTTTCTTCTTCGATAGAACACGCAAAACAAAACCATGGCTATACAAATCAGAACTGAAACTATCGAGATGGATAATATAACTGCAAGGCTCAACCGATTTTTTCTCTTAGGTTTTGTTGAAGAGCAATTAGGTAACTGGAGTTCAGGTAGCCCACCACAAAGACCATTGTTGCCGATAACAGAAACTGAAGATCTGTTACCAAACACTCCTTGGTTCGATACCTCCCCTTCAAAACCATTGAATGATAGATCGAGGTTCACCAAAGGAATTTCTTCCAGATAACTTGGGATCCGACCGGTGAAGTTATTACGTGAAACGTCAAGGTTTTGGAGGGCGCGCAAAGAGCTCAACGATGGTGGAAGAGAACCCTGGAAGAAGTTGTTGCTTATGTTTAGGTTTTCAAGGCTGCGGCAGTTGCCTAGGGTGGTCGGAAGGTTGCCTGAGAAGCGATTGTTTGCCAGGATAATTTCTTTTACGTTTTGAAGATCGCCGATCTCTCGGGGAATCTGTCCCGATAAATGGTTGCTGCCTAAATTTAGCGTAATGGATAACGACGAGAGTTCAAATAGTTGACTAGGAACGTCTCCGGTAAGGTTATTCCGATCGAGGGTTAACTCTAGCAGCCTGTTACAGTTCCCTAAACTTAATGGAATGGCACCATTCAGTTCATTTAACCCCATGTGAAGTTCAATAAGTAACGATAGGTTTCCAAAAGAACCAGGAATGTTTCCTGAGAAAGAATTGTTTGTAAAATCTAGCATCCGTAGATTTACAAGATTGCCAATGCTCGCGGGAATTGTGCCGGTGAGTTGATTACTCGACAAGTCGAGGGAAGTTAGGCCGGAGAGACTCCCAACCGATGACGGAAGGCCACCGGAAAAAGAATTCGAACCAAAGCTCAGAAAATACAACATAGTCGACAAGTTTCCAAGAGATTCCGGCAAGAAACCTCTCATCTGATTGAACCCAAGATCCAACACTCCTAAGTTATTGCAAATCGACAAAGCATCTATAAATTCCATTTCATCGTTTTCCCCACTCCCGAAATGATTCGTACTTAATGACAAGATTTCAAAACTACAGGCGTCCCGGGGATTGATAACTAGCTTTCCGGAGAAATTGTTTCTAGCTGCATCTATGACTCCTAGTTCTGAAGAACTGAGAACAGAGGGTGGAAAAGGACCTGTAAATAAGTTATCGGGTATAGAAAGAACTTGAAGACGAGGCATGATTGAACCTAAGTTCATGGGTAGTCTACCCGAGAGTTGATTACTATCGAGGAATACTTGTTCTAAAACGGAGATATTGTAGAAAGAAGGTGGAAGGTTACCAATGAGGTTATTTCCGGGCAATGCAAGTCTTCTCAGGTTAATCAGTCGGTGGAAGAAATCAGGAATGTTTCCCCCGAGTGCACAATTGCCAAGGGAAAGAGTATCTAGGTTGGTAAGATTTCCGATGAACAGTGGAATCCCACCTCCTAAATTGTTCCGATGAAGAATGAGTAAGTTTAGCTTGGATAACGATCCAATCCCATCGGGGATTTTGCCGACTAGGTTATTGTTACCTAAGTGAAGCGCTTGCAGGTTGGAGCAATTCGATAAACTGGCGGGAATGTTGCCCTCGAAAGAGTTGTTGTAAAGACGTAGTTCATCTAATCGAAACAGCCGGCCAATTTCAGGCGGAATCTCGCCGGAAAATGAGTTGTTATGGAACCGAATCGACCTGAGAAAGCTAAGGTTTCCGATGGAAGGAGACAACGTTCCGATCAAGCCCCCAGACGAGAGGTCCAAGGCGGTGACTCTTTGGTGGCGGGAGCTGCAAGTGACACGTGGCCATTGGCAGAATTGAACGGAATCGTTCCATGAAGTCATGATACCTTGTGGGTCATCTTGAATCATGGATTTGATAGCCAGCAACGCCGCAAGGTCACCGACGACACCGGTGGTGGTGTTCTGAGCCGCCGCCGTGGGGACGACTGAGGAAAACGCTGCAATGTGCACCAAAGTGACGAATAGAAACGTAAACAATGATAGCCGTTTGGTTTTGGCACTCATTTTTACTTGAATCAATATCAATTTTCAAATCTGATATTTTTTTTCTATAAATGGCTCTTCAATATAAAGGAGGCGTCTCAGCTGACTAAGTCAAAATTATCCGGTTCGATTATGACGTGAGTGGGCTGGTTTTGTTTTGTCTTCCACAATCCATAATAACATTCTCATTTCCTTATTTACTTATATAGATATATTTAACCAATGTCAACTAGTGGATTATTTTTATTGAATTAATTTATAATTCTTACGAAGTCTAAGAGCTCGATTTTGAGATGATTCAACCGTTACTTATACAGTTATACGACAATATGTATTACTATCATTAACATTATGTATTTATGTTATCTTTTAATATTAATAATAACATTTAAATATTTAAATTTATAAAAAGATACTTATTATATTCTGTTTTACGGATTCGCATTTATGAATTATGATAGAGTTGAAGTTCGTACCCAGTAAAGTAAAGTCCAGCTAAATTGATTGTGGGTCACCCCATTCAAGTCAACGCTGCAAACTCAAAAGTCAAAAGTCAACTACAATTGATTCTATTTTATTCAGGACGCCTTGGACTTCAAAGGATCTGTATAGGGTTCGGTTCTGTATATAACAAATGAATTATATTACGATTGATCGACTTATTTCACGTTAGACTTTGCATCGCATGGCACTTGGCCATACGTTTGAATTTTGGGTCCACTATATTTTTTTAAATATCTTGAAATAAAAATCTAATATTTATTAATCCATACTATCAAAATTATTATTTGAGAAAGTTATATGGGAATTTGACATTTTGAACAAAATCGAGAGCATGTTTCATTCATTCTTTTGTCTTGCTTCGTCAACTTGCGCTTAAATTTCACAAAAAATGCACCTTTTATAAATAATAAAATTATATCTTAAGAAGAGGCAAGTATTATACTACTCGAATACTCCGGATGTGATTTCTGAATAAATCACGGGTTTTATAAATTTATAAATTGAGTATTTAAACTTATATATTAATAAGAGTATTGTGCATGTGTTTTCACAATATGCAATATCCATACAGCCCACTACGACAATACGAAATCCCGTGATTGCAGTTTGGCATATTATGCGTATCTACTTTTTATAAATTTTATCAAGATGGCTATAAACATATAATTTATCGTCAAAGTCATTATATGTACATAAAATCTGGATTAAATAAAAGCAAAATTTGCCATATCAGATTTCAGATCATCATGATTTTTCAGATAAAAATCCGGTTCCAAATTGTTTGGGTATCCAATCCATATCCAACGGATCAGATCTACTTTTGAAAATCTAAAAGTCGGGATTGGGTTTGACCAATTTTAGTCGTTGGTTGTTAATAAATTGTCAATACTTTGTATTTTAGACCTTTAATGGTTTTCTAGAAGTGATCGATTCTTCGAGTTTGTTAATATTAATTTTGCCAATCCACTAATATATACCGGTTTCTTTGTTAATTTGACATATATGAATCTTTATCCTATATACCAGTTATTAACTATCAGCAAAGTTATTTTTGTTGAGCTTCAAGTTAATTTTGCTGAACAATCTCATATGCCTTGATTCACAGATATCATCCTCATAACAATTCTATGTATAGTTGTGGGAAACCAATGAGAAGGAAGATATGGTCACAGGATAAGCCTGCCTAGAGTTTGCCGCAATTATTTAGAAATCAAAGTTAATGGAGTATATTATCTATGTTATTTGCGTTATGTTTAATTTTTATGTTTTCTTTCATTATGTAGGATTCGAAGATCACATGTGACTTTTTTTGAGTGAATTGGCCCAAAACTTTCAAATAAATGATACAAAAGTCTATTTATTGGTGCATATTACACTTTTAGTAAAAAAATAATCTAATCAGATTTATTAACTACATTTCAAAAAACAGCCAAATATATAAAAATATTAAAAAAGAATTGTTTTTTAAACCTTAAATACCTTGGAATAATAAGATTGGTGACCAAATCGCAACCCATAACAGCCACTTAGATCAAACTGAGCTCATTAAGGTAAATTTGTGATTGGTCATTTGTTGGCTATTTTTATAGTAGCTAATGAATTTGGTTAGATTTGTCTTTTTTTTTTTCTTTAACAATGACCCAATAATCAACCCAGTCATATATTGTGGTTCTATAGACTTTAATTTAAGTTTTTACAAGGTTGCATTTTTATTGTTGATTGAAGCATTATTACTTTGTCGATTGTCTTGATAAACATGCTACATATAACGTTACGTTATGCATGCCACAATGGACTTAACTAAGAAATTATCATATGTTGTTCTAAAAGGTTATTTGATAGAATTTGAATGATTTAATGTTGAACTATTAAGAGTATTGAATGATTTAGTGTTGTTTATTAATGTTGATATACAGAACTCTTGATGAGAAAAATACCATGTTACCCTATTAACAAAAACAAATTAAATACATATAATACAATCTTTTTTACAATACAAATTCAAATACATATAATACAATCTCTGACAGTTACAAACTTGGAATGCGGTGTTTAAGTGGATGGATATTCATCAAATAGAGTTTGTTCAATGCAAGGATTGTTTTCTTTAATTGATAATTTAGCCATGAATTCGAAGAATAATATTATCAATTCTATTATGGTACATTTGGAGATTTAAGAATGATTTGTTGTTTGGAACGAGCCCATTAAAGAAGTGATATTTTTTATTCGATTACAGAGTTCTTTTTTCTATTTGATATTCTAATAGAAACAGGAAAATGTTTGTTTAAGTTAGGTTAATTGGTTAGAATTCCCCCTAAACCCTCTGTAATTGATTCTTTGCTCTAGCTTTTTTCTAGAGTTTTCTATTTTTATATATGGTTGGTTGTTTCTAAAAAAAAACATTAATGTCGACTTAATTATAAAACATGATCGATCTCCATGAGTATTTTATGCACCCCGTCTCAATGATTTTAGAATAACTACCAAACTTGTAGAAATCCATCTCGAATGAATCAAAAAGAAGATAATACTAATAATCTTATATGCTTAATCAACAAGAATTACAAGGAGAATGTTCCTTTTTTGCTCACTTGTACTTGAATTCCTATATAAACATTCACACACACATTAATGAACTCTGACATGTTTGGTGTCATAAATTACAAGGAGATGTTACGTTATGACTGAGGTTTGCACAACTACTAATCATATTATACTTATATGTTGAATACATATTGACAAAAACCAGATTGAAAATTGATTAAACACATCCAAGTAGAGAAAAAAATATGAAATAGAAATACCATGCTAATGAGATTATCGTATTTAGTTTTTTTCCTGTTAAAAATTACACTAAATTGAGAAATATTTCTATGTTTATTTAACCACAAGATGAGGTCTTTGATTTTATTCCAATAATTTTTTATTTTATTATATAGTTCAAATTGATTGTAATTTCGTAAATCAACTTGATATAAAAATTATTATTTTATAATTAATATCCATAACATAATTATTTATAATATTTTTTTATCAAAAAAATTAATCACATACGACATGCATTTATTTAATTAATTAAAAACATATATTTAATTAATTTAAAACATACTAAATGGTTTGTTGATAGCTTATTCTTAACCCAAAAGCAAACAAGTAGAAAGTTGGGTCGTCATATTACATTTCAGCAATATCTTAGGGACTGTGTTTGTAATCACTCTAAAGTATAGAATCCAAAGGGGGCTATTTTCCCCCCTGTATCTATCAGGCTATCACCACTGCCGATATATAAAATTTCTCCGGCGTTCTTCTTCACAACCCCCTCCGTCAATCCCATTATCTTTCATTCCCTGCCCACCTCGATCAAACGCCTGATTTGAGTTTTTTGATGGATAAACGAGTCAAATTTTACTAGGGTTCACTCTAAGGGTTCAGATTTCGCGCAAAGAAGACGATTTGGCATTCAAGTTAAACAAATTTGGTAGCTTGGATACTATAGTCTAGAGATATCGGTGTGGCTCAGGTTATATTTGTAACGTGTTTGTACAAAATTTCTGTTGTCTTATGGTAGTGCGTATTTTGAGACTGTATCAGGGTGTTAGAAAGTGATCTTTATTCTACAACATAGGGTTTATCGATTGAATTCATGGAGTCTGATAAAGAGGATGTCGTTTTTCTCGATCGAGCTTCTCGGGCAACGAGAGGAAGACGGTAAGCATCGAATTTCTGCAACTTTGATATGGATACGATTATGTCCATCGATTGTGCTTTTGAAGTATTCGTTAAAACGCATTTCGTTTGAGTACTACAAAACACTGGATTATGCTCTTTTGTAGGATTTAACTCGGTGATTGTGGATTTTGACTGTTATTGTAGGATGACCAAATTGGTTGATGAGGAGATTGAAGAAGATGATGAGTTCTGGAACCAAGAAGCTTTGAAAGATGTAATAAACTAAGTGTGATTTGAGTAGTACCACTTACATGATCTGTTCTTCATTGTCTCACACCATGGTGCTTTCTTTTCAGGAAGAAGATGATACAAACTACGTAGAAGAAAAGGAGGTTGCAGATGTTTTTGACAGTGACTTTGATGAAGATGTATGTGTAATATGGTTCGCCATGATTTAAATTTCTATTTGAATATAGGTTGATTTTATGAACAATTACTTGCTTTGACTACAGGAACCAGAGCCAGAGGCAGAAGCAGAAAATGAGCCAGATGAAAGGTTAAATTTCTCTAGTTAATATCATAAACTGGAATAAGAAAAAAAAAATATTGAATGTAAGTTTTTATACAGGAAGAGGCCAAAGAAGAGATTGGCATTTCCAGGAAAGCAATTGCCAAAAAAGAAGAAGAAGAAGGTTGTTTCAGAACCTGATAGTTCTAATGAGGAAGAACCAAATGTTGACCAGTCAACGCCCCAAGAAGACCATGAAGTTCCTGATGATACAGAAGTTGAGAAAACAACCAGAAAGTCAACAAGAACTTCAGTTATTGTTAGGCAAGCTGAAAGAGATGCAATACGTGCAGCACTTCAAGCAACAATGAAGGTTCATATGATTATTCTTATTGTTCTTTAAATTTGGTGTTTTCAGGATGAATATTGTATTTATGTAGTTATGTTACGAATTCTTAGCCAATAAAAAGGAAAAAGGAAGGTGAGGAAAAGAGAATGACCCAAGAAGAGATGCTTCTGGAAGCTGCTCAAACAGGTTTTTTAACACATAAGCTTGTTGAAATAAATCAGAAGAATAAGTAACAATAGTATAGATTTGTGAGTTTTATGAGTAAATAAAATTTTGCAGAAATTATGAACTTGAGGAACTTAGAACGGGTGTTGGCAAGGGAGGAAGAAGTAAAAAAAAGAGCAATTGTTCATAAAGCTCACTACACAGGCCCTCAGATACGATATCTTTCTAAAGATGGCAAGTTATCTGGATTTAAAAAAAAAAAAAAAAAAAAAGAGCAATTGTCCAATTTTTAAAAAATATATATATATGATAACATTCTTGATTCCTTTTCAGGTTATACATACCTTGAATTTACAAATGGGGTGTCATTTCGATCACAGATTCCTACATCAGCCCCTCCATGTGAGTAGTTGTGTGCATATGAAATTAACATTAAACCGACCGCTTTTATTATTTTTAATGGTGCTAATTTTGATATATGTTTTATATATTTTTTCAAGATCCAGAGAAAGCTGTTTGTGTAGTTACAGGATTACCTGCAAAGTAAGCTTTTTCTTTTTTGTTCTTTTTCAAAAGATCGATAGATTGACTGAGTCAATGATTTTGTGTTTCATTTGTTTATGACAGATATCGTGATCCCAAGACAGGTTTGCCTTATGCGACAAAAGAGGCTTTTAAGATTATTCGTGAAAAGTAAGGTTTTTTTTTTTAGAAACTCAATATAGTGTTGTGTTTGTTGAAAAAAACTAAAAACCTTGTGTAGGTATTTGAATGATGGGAGTGGGATTAAAGAGAAGAATAGCATGGGAGTGGTTTATGAATTGGCTTGTGGGGAAGGAGGAGGTTTCAGAAAAAAGAAGAGGAGAACAGTTAATCCAAACAGCAAAGAGAAGTCTTATATGAGATCATTGGCTCGTTTTCGCCAGATTCCAGCTTTTGAATACCAAGACTCTGAATGACACTGCAAACATGGAGAGAGCTTTTTGCATTGTTTGAAGATGGCTTGGCTTCTAATGTATTTGAGTTGAGTTTCGGAAATGGCTGGAAAAAGAAAGGCTGATCATGATTATCAATTTTAGAGGGAAGTTTTAGTATATGCATTCTTGTAATGGTAGTGATTGATTCAGTCTTTTCGTTTCTACCAAAAGGCCTCATCTCTTCTCTTATGTGCACACATGGTGACTAGTATAAGAATAAATTACAGTTTTTGTTCTTGTATAAATTTGCATTTCTTATATTTCAATCTGTTGCTGCTTTTACTATTTTTAATCTATTGATGTTAGTTTTGTAAAAGACTGAAATAGGTTTTGTAGCGTTTGGGAATGCTATGGTGATCTTCAAGAAACCCTAAATTAGTATGATCTTGGGGTTGATTTGGATAAGAATGATGGACTGTTACTTGTTCAGCTTGGGTTTTCTTTAATTTGTTCTTTGTACTTTTAATGTTTGATATGGGTTTTTTGTGGGTTATGTGGCAATAAAGGTTGTTGAAGATTTGAAAATGAAGCAAGATTGTCGTTTAGGCTATGTGGTATCTTCACGTCTGAAATACAAGCCACCTCATCATCAAGCCATTCCATAAGGTTGTGAAAATGGAGAGAGAGAGAGAGAGAGAGAGAGAGAGAGAGAGGTATGTAATGATGAGATATTAACAAAAGTAGAAAGCTGTACTAGTATAACTTTTTTCTTCAGCAAAACACCAATCCAGTTCAATAAAGGTGGTCAAAGGTTTAAAGGTGAATAATTTATTTACATAAATCATTAGATTTTTGGCTGAAGGGCACCGATCTAACAGAACAAAACACACGTTCATGTTGATGTCTAATAAAAACAATTTATTTATATATAAGAAATGTAAACAAAAACACCAACAAGAGATGCTTATTGGGCCAGTTGCAAATTTTGTTAATAGAACAAAAAGTAAGCGTTCTCAACAAACTACAGCATACATCTCTATAAGGAATGAAGAAATGTAAAATGTAAATACATTTTCCCTGGCAAAAAGTCAAAGAACGACTTCACGAGCACCAGTAGGCAGTAGTAGTATTATTATACGGTAGTAAAAGTTGTTCAAGATTTCCCTTCCCTGTACAATCATATTTCTTCCTATCATCTCCACTAATTCCCTCCCAAGTTATCACCAAAAATGGAACCCAAACTCATGCATCTACTAGTCCTTACACCATTATAATTATCGTGTATGTTGTTCAAATATAATGGTGATTTTTGCATTTGGTATACATACAGTCTTACTCATCACATAGAATAGAATATCTACTTCATTAGAGTGTCTATGTCTTTACCTGAAAAACGCACAACTCATAATTATTATTATCAATGATTATTAGTTGTTGGTTCTTAAGACTACCACATACCTTTTGATCTATTTCTTGTTGTCTTTTCAGCTTCAACATTTTCTAAATGAGGAGCAATTAACAAATCCAATTTCACCAACCACAACGCAACCGCAGATGATGTTTGTGGCATACATCCAAAGCTTGTAATAACATCATCCAAATCATAATCCCCTTCACTTCCATACAACCACCCCTTATTGATTGCACCAACAAAATCACCAAGAACCTATATATAAAAATTAAGTTATATATATATATATATATAATATATGTAATATAAGTCCACTAAGTTTTTTTTTTTTTTTGAAATACCTGTAGCAACTCCACCAATGTTGAAGTGCGTCTTAACCGCTTCACCCACAGATTATGAGCACATTTTGTCCAAGCACCCACCATCGCACCCTCAGGCATACATGACTACATTTACATATACAAATTATAAAAATGAAAAAATAAATAAAACAAACAGATATGAGTCTATGACTCACCTCAAGTGTGTATGCTGCAGCCTTGAGTGACTGTAACTGTGATGACAACACTTTATGTTTCGGAAACATATCGGGCGCTGACTCATCACGACACGTGGCAGCATGAATGGCGTATCTTTCTTCCAAATCAAAATCAACCTCAAACGTCGTATGACAAATCCTACAATGTTTCTCATCTCTCCAAAACAAATCATGACACCTTTCACACCTCGCAAGCGAATCAAGAAACGATTTTTTCCCATGTTTCACAGCATTTAGAACAGAACGAAACGAATCCCATAACCAAACATCAAACTGTTGAAGGCGACACCATTTCTGTTTAGCTTGTTCCCTGTTTCCAACAGCACTAGTGGAAACAATACTATTATTATCTATATTTAGGACGCCCAGTAGGTTGTCCACGTCAGACACAGCCGATGAGCTGTCGTCTCGGGAAATACTCCTTTCAGATTCAGACGAAAGGGCAGGCTGCCCGTGCCCGACTCTTGCATCACTTGACATGGCTTCATAAAGAAGAGCTGCCCGTTTTTCCAAAGATGAAACAAGATGACCCTCTCGTCTTCCCCTTTGATCCAAACATGATAACAAGTTCGCTAATGCCTGTGACAAGTGTCAATTGACAATTGACAATTTTAATACTTACTTTTCTTCGATTAAGAAAATAAAAATAAAAAATAAAAGATACCTCTTCTGTTTCGATAACCTCCCAATGACCATCTTCAGATGATTCAAAGTAAATCCTTTTGTGGCCTGGATCACACGTGTTACACGGGCCCACGAAAAGCCAGTATCGATTATACCTTCGATCAGATCCCAAAAAGATCGATTGCATAGGATGTAAATCGTTTATAACTTCTATTTCTGTTGTATTTTGGATTAATGAGATAATTGCTGATGAATCAACAGGTTGCATATCTTGCATTTCATCTTTCTCACTATGAATCAGTTGGTTGAACTCGTTCTCAAGTTGCTTTGATGTTGATCTCTTTATTTTTGCTCCAGAACCAATATGATAAACCTTGGGAGGAACACACTGAACACCCGATAATGATAATGACGATGATGATGATGATGATGACACAGGTTCCTGAAAGATTATATGAATTATGATGCAGTAAATTTGCAAAATACTATGAAAGAAATTATATTAGTTAATTTACCTCTATTCTTATACTGGAACCCGCTTTTAATAGATCAATCAGAGCCAAAAGTGCATTCAATTTCTCTTCAATATTTAAATCTGAATATTCGCCTTCCATCAGTCCAGATAACCACATTTCTCCAGGATGACTCTCGTCGATTTCAGAGGTTGTTACAGTTAAAATGTTGTCTTTGCTTTTAAGGTTCTTTTGTCCGTTTTCACTTGACATTAATGCCCCTGAATCATTGGGATTATCATCAACGCTACCACAGTCTTCAAGGTCAGATTGGTCATCTTCAGTATCCTTAACAATGGAGTTGCTACGAACACGATAAGCAGAAGAAGAGATTTTCTCAAATAAGGTGATGTCACTTGACAACATTGAGCTTATCAATTGCTCAATGTCTTCAGTCGTGGTTGCAAGCTTCAATCCAATGATCTTCATGATTAAAAATGAAGTTATTAGATTAAATATTCAGTGAAACTGACTAGAAAAGATGTGGTAAGTTACTAATTACTTACTGATGGAAATGTAGCCAATTCGGAAATTTTCATCCCATTATTTCCTTTTGATGATAATATTGTGAATAATTCACCCTTCAGAGTACCTGGGCTTAAGCCATAACTAGCCATCAGAGCAGCTTCCTGTTAATCAAATCAAATAGTTTTTGTATGTGAGAGATGTTTTTACTAAAAGCCAGCTAATATTCTGAATTTTTTTTTATTACCTTATTTAGAGGTTCCTTGGATGACATGTCACGTTTTGAACCAAAGCCAGCTGAAACTAACACCTGGCGTAATATCTCTATCCATGTCAGCGAATTTAAGGATCTTTTCCATAGTTTTAGAGCAGATTCTTGATGTTCAACCTGCCAACAGACATGTTATTATGTTAATAAGAATCATTAATGCAATAGGTTTTTTTTAAATTACTATATCGCCCTCTATGATACTTACTGACTGAAGCAACCCACGATACTTCCAGTTTTTGCTGACATGAGATAGAAATCCACTTTCTAGTTCCTTTTCAACACCAGTGAGAAGCAGTTTCAGAAGGACAACATTAAGTTTTCCAAGTAACAAAGAATCCTGAAAAAATAAGCACAAAGAATAAAAAAAATATAAATCCTTACATAGTGAGTAAAAACATTATGATGACCTTCCAACACAATAAGCACTAACCTTGTCTATAAATGCTTGTGCCAGCTCATCAAGCGTGAAGGACTGGATACCGATTATTACAGCATAAGTGCTTATAAAGTGAAATATCTGCTAACAAGAGTCAGGTTAGTATTTAGTAAGAAAAAACTTAACCTTATTTTTCACTGAAATTGGATATACAATATAATGTTTGTTTAAGGACCTGAAATGTACCTTGAAAAGTTTTTTGACAAGTAGTGGAGAAGAATCCCATGGTTGGACATGTAATGGTTGCTTCATTCTTATGGAGTTTGGAGGGAACCTTGCCAGTAAATCTACACCAAATTAAGAGCAATAAATTCACTTTGAAAAGTTTAATCAAGAAAAAGAAATGAAATGAGTGCTAAGAAAGCAGCTAAATGAAACAGACCTTTGCAAAGGGAACAACCATGCAACCTATTTGCTGAACAATGAGCACAACATGTTAATGGATTTGATGTTGCTTGTAGTTCTCTTAGTTCCAGCTCCTCATCATCTTCTAGCATAGCATATTGACTTGGGTCTTCTTCATTTCTCCCTTCATTCAGAGCAATTTCACATATTTCTCTCCCTTGTTGCTTTTCCTTACTAACTTGTTCACATCTCACCTTCAGTTTTTAACACAAGTCAATGATAATTAGCAAGCAATATAGCAGCTACTTCCATCAATGTATATCAAATTACCTTTCTATTTCTAGTTGAAGACTTCTTCTCTTGTAACTTGTTCACTAACCTCCTCTGTAAATGAATCACTGTCAGTTGTCATGTTAGAAGAAACAAGAACAATATCTAGAAATAAGAAAAGAAGACAAACCGTGACAGGTTGTTGTTTTCTTGACTTCTTTTTCAATTGAATAGGTGGTTTTTGTGATGTAAAAGGTGGAAACTGAGAACAAGCTCCATGATCATTGTCAACACATGTTGGAAGGTTTCCAGAACCAGGATTTATTAACCTCTGAATTGTCATCAAGCCTTTTCCAACACCATGTTTCTTCACTGGATTAGTCTCCTGGTTTGTAAGGCGCCATACTGTCATCAAACCTTTTCCCATACCATGTTTAACTGGAGCACTATCAAGAGGGGTAGTTTGGTCCTCAACATTGGTAGGCTTCAAAGTCTATGATAATAATAAAAAATAACATCTTTAGATCAAAACTACAATAAAACAGATGATTTGACAGCATGATATCAACTGAACAAAAAGAGATATACTCTGCGTACCTTTTGCCTTTTAAATGCTCTTTGTTTTTCTTGGCAAGCACGATGTGACATCCCTGAATCTGGTAAGAACAAATAAAAGATTTCACAATTAACTAGGATTTCCATTATAAAGGTGCTTCAAACTACTACCTATA